TGCATGTCAATTAAGTAGTCATTTTTTGCAGAGTGTAGTTTTTGCAGGCGGCCGGAAAGGTGTTCATTCAAAAGCCAACATCTTGCTGTAACCCAACTTTAGTAATCTTTTCGAATCGAAAACTCATTTCAGATTTTCGGGTAACATTTCATGAGTTAGCAAATCTACTGCAGTAGTTGTCCGTTGACTTAAGTAAATCACTAGATTAAATGCTCTGCTATATTTTAAATCTATTTGAAACGTAGTGCTAACGTTAACAGCTACCAGACTTGCTCTTAAACATATCATAAAATCAGGCTAAATGGGCACATTGAGATACTAACTAGAAATCCAGACATTTCGCGTTAACTCACCTGTGCTCGCCTAGTGAGGATAATAGAGTATTAAATGCCTTCTTCAAGGCAGCCAACTACAGCTGCAAATAGCTTACGCAAATATATATGTATATGTGTGTGTGTGATAACTGCATGTCTGGCGCAGAGGCAAGACTAGCACTGTGATCGATAGACGCTTGCGACATCATATATTGGCACTGCGTTGAGTCGTAAAACCCAAAAATAGTTAGCAGCCTACTGCTCTGCATCAGTCAACGCCTTTTTTATTTGACAGATGGGTATTTCGCTCAGACAGCTTGCACTTTTGGAATCAAACTGCTTGAACGTGCTGGATTCAAACTGCCCCCCTCAAAAACTTTGGAACATACAATTCTGCGAAAAAATAGATAGTAGCAAGGCCTAACTAGGTGCTGGTTATCATTTGGGGGGTGTAAAGAGTTCTGCAGCTCGAAATAGAACGAGTTTTGACGCCAAAAAAATCGGCTCCAAGACCTTAGTTTTCTTAATCGAACTGAGATCGTCGATGAGGTCGAGTATCCAGCATTAGATCTTGAAAGGTGTGTAGTAAGGCAATTGGGGATTCTGTAGTGTCCAATCAGAGCGCTTCAGTAATCCCGGTTCTGCACCTGTTCGCGAATGAATGAATAAGCGACAGGGGAAATCAAGTCAGTGTCAGTTTGGAGAGTTGATTGGATAATAATTGAATCTGTGGACAGCCTCCACCTAAATGAGGTCATGGCATCTTTTGATGTTACATTCCCCTTTACTTCTATTCCCCAGGACCTGGCGATCGGGACAATCGAGCTGCTACTACAAAGCAAATACGATGAAACGGAGAATCGTCTTGAACGCGTCCAAGTCCTTCAGCTCCTGAAGTTCTGTCTCAGGACGTATATTACGTTCAACGTGACAATCTACGAACAGGTGAAAGGCACACCAATGGGTTCGCCGATTTCGGGATTCATCGCCGAGACGGTCCTGCAACGGTTAGAGTCGCAGGTCTTCCAACACCACAGACCGAAGTTCTGGGCACGGTATGTGAATGATACCTTCGACGTTATCGACTGGGATCAAGTGCTGACATTCAAGGAACATTGCTAATAGAAGCGAAGAGCCGAGTCCCAGGAAGTAGTCTTGAAGAAGGAGACACGATCGCCGGGACAAGAAACGCACTGCAGTGAGCCGGAAGACAAAACTGCTGAACTACAATACCTCCGACGGGTCTTCAAAGCCAATGGCTACCCGCGCAACTTCGTCGACCGGTGCATACGCAGAAGGGACGAAAGGCCTAACCGCACGGACACCAAGTCTTGGCGGGCACTTCCGTATGTCAAGAACGTTTCGGAAGCTGTAGGCCACCTTCTCGCAGCACTTGGAGTTGGAGTGGCACACAGACCGGAGGCAACCATCAGGCGTCAGGTAGTGAAGCCGAAAGACCCGCTGCCACGGCTATAAACGTCTGGAGTCGTTTATCGGAGCTAGCGCAGTTGCAGACAGAGCAACTACGTCGGAGAAGCCGAAAGTCAGCTCCTAACGCGAGTGACTGAACATGCGGCAGCAGTGCGGAGAAATGACTCCAGCTCTCAAGTTGCGGCTCATTCGACGAGATCGAAATACTCGCAAGAGGTGACAACCGCGTGAGCCGTCAGCTGGCCCCCAGTACATTAAAAAGTGCAATGATCTTCCCCTTCCATACTGAGTGCTGAGACTTCTCCTAGGCGGAGTAATTAGCCACGCGGGGAGCGCAAACGTGACCACTGTTCCCAACACGAGAATGGTTGTTGAATCTGTGGGTGGTCGTGATTGGCTGTCCCAAAGGTTGCGTGGGCGTGTCTTTTGGTCCTTCGCTAGCCGTGAGCACATGATTACTAGCGCAGCATAGATAGCTGCAGTGGAGGGCCTGAGAGGCTAAAATCACGCCTACCCATTGGGAATCGTGTGCATATCACTAGGGTGCTGGGTAACTGTCATGACCCGCCTGGTACTTGAAATCCCGTGGAGCGTATACGCACTCGACCCCCGTCCCCAATACCAAAGCAGCAGACAAAGATAACACAGCCGGCCACGGAAAGTGTATAAGAAAAAACACTGCAAGTCGCGACTCATATTTTTAACACCCTACTGTGGTTCGCCGGTGTTCTGTCCAGTGATCTTCGGGAAGAGGGGAGTAGCCAATGGAGAGGCGCCTGACTAAGATGACAGCGCTGAAGAGAGAGTAAACGCATGTGGTCTCAAGTGATTGGTTGGTTCTTGTTTTGGGAGTTTAGGCACTCCTAACAGTAACCTGCTATTAAAATACACGTGGTTTGAGAAGTGAATTTGCAAAATTTGGTCTGAGTGGACGGCTTCCAGACGGGCGTTGTGAACGCAGGTAGAAAGAGGTCGAAATGACCACTGCCCGGTGAACTCGCTGGTGGAGTTTATTGCGGCGTCTGGATACGGTGATCGACAAGGCGAAGGCTCCCAAACCAACAGTCACGAAAGGGTAAAGTTTGTACAGCCTTTACTGGGGCGAGCTGGACACAGCTGGAAGTGGCGGCAAACCCGGTGACAGCTGTTGAGATTCTTGGTCGCTGTGTGTGTGGCACACGTGTGCGTGCTCCTGAGCTTTGTGTGCCTGCAACCAATCAGCCGACGACGCAGAGTCGATTGACTTCGAGTGTTCACCACGCCGTTGTCAGGTCCTACGATTTGCAGACCGGAGGCGCCATGAAAAAGCGCTCGCGCCGGCGACCACGGGAACGTACTGTCAAAGGAAGTGATCATTATACGGTTTTCCCAGGGGGTTACATACCATACCTTTGCCAGAACTGTTTCTGAAAGGCATCAAAAGGTCCCAGGGACCCAGAAAGTCTTTCAACACTCGCTATGGATTGTTGGGTCTTTTAAGGGGTGGATCGCAGACGATGGAGCAATAGAAGCGATAAATGACACTCGGCTTAGATGCACTACTTAGCAGAAGTGTCATCGACTCCTTGTAGTGGTGCTGTGAGGGAATCCGCAGCTACTCGTGATGACTGGGTAAGGAGTGTGCCTGGGACGATTCTGAGCTGATCGAGTTCCCCGAAGTTAGGTGTAGTATATAAAGACGGGTAAGGGGTGGCGAGAGAGAGAGAAATGGAAAATTAATGGAATAAGATGAAACTCTACAGCGAAATATGCAATGACCTAGGGGAACTCAAAAGAAAGACTTCACAGAAGTGAACACACACCCACATGTCACGCACCACAGGTAAAAATTTGAATGTTCTCAAATGATTAAATAAGAGTGTAATGGTGTAAAAAGCGCCGCAGTGTGGCTGCTGACGGAGCTCGAGAGAGAGAATCTCAAAGCATAACGGGAAGAGTGAGTTCCGTAGGGCCATCAATGAGCGCTCTCCTAAGGATGTAGAACCGGTAATACATCATGTGCCATTCCGTCCGATCGTCCTCCGAGTATAAAGATAAAAGAAGACATAATTATCTACCGAATGAGCAAAAGAATGAATATTCTCATGCGTGTTTTCCATGAAATATAATTGGACTTTTAGGGGCATCGAAAATCAAAGACAAAAATTCATGCTACTTAAGTAGTCATTTTCAGAGAGTGCGATTCTTGCATGCAGCCGGAAAGAAGTCAATTCGAAAGCCCGCATCCTGAAACAAAAACCTATTTCGGAATTTCGGTTTGCATTTCATGAGTTAGCCCACCTATTGTAACTCTGTCATCATTCAATTTAGAACACCTACGAGTGGGACCACGACTATCGAGCAGCCTGAAAACTCCACAATCGCCCACTCAATTCCTCAAAATGACGGAGACTGATTCTCACATAATACTTTTTCATTCAAACCCATAAAACCTGCGTCAGTCATTGCGTCGACGGACAAAAAGCACGGCTAGTGGAATTTTGCCGTAAATGAAGTAGATGTCCGCGAGATAACACAGCTGACGGACTCCGAGCCAGATGTGGGAACATTCCTTCAGTCGTATCAAAACCGGAGGCTTCCTTTCTATTCAAACGCTCGTGTTCCCACTATCAACGGCATCCTCCTTAATGATCTCTCAAATCCACGGCCCACTTCAGAGCCTAACTCGATTAGTCATCTATTTAACTTTCTGGTCCAGAGGACAATGGGTCCCTGCACTGACGGATTCATCCGACGCAACATTCATAGAGATGCACTGTCTCGGCCACACCCTCTCCTCTCATACACAACGTGTCAACTCACCGGAACACGTTGATGAGATCAATTATGACCGGAAAGGAAGATGGAACAGAAAGAGAACCGGTTCGGAGAATAAGCACATTACTGACACCCTGCGAGGGTGCTTTATTTGTGTTAGCTCCTGTGCATTCTGGAACACTCCGCCCGATGGCGTGCCAGCCGTTGAGGGCGTTCTAGAACGTTCCTGCGCATGCCGTGGCGGTCGCGGATTGGCCACCGCGTGCGCGAGAATCACCCCACCCCGGAAAAGTCTCGAATGTTCGACCAGCCATTGATTGGGCTGCGCGCGTGAACAAAGCCACCACACGTGCTCGGTGCTGCAGTACATGCCGATCAACTGTCTAATCTCACGCGTGTACCACGCCGCCGACTTGGTCATTACTTCATTCTGTTTCGCGGGGAGCTGTTGCCGACACCCAGTAAATGCGATGTCTGGCGCCTTTGCTCAGTGCGACGAGGACAATCACATTGCCAGCTAGCGGTCGCAGATGCACTGATCTCACCGTCTGGCCGACTTCAGCTGGAACACTCGTGCGTCTAGGTGGTCGCGGCCGCCCATGCACCACCTGAACACACCACCTTTCTGAAAATGCAACATGACAGTCCGACTGTCATTACCAACGATGTCCACCAGGTGCTTTACAGCAAGGTGAGAGTAGAGACGATGACTTGCGGAGGAGTTAGTTAAAAGTGATAGAAGACTTGCACGGTATCTACCACAC